CTTGTGCAATTTATCACCTGCGCAATAAACACAACAAAATCCACCTTCTTCACTATCAGTACTTCAGGATCCCTCAACTGATGAACAACACTTTCTGCAGGCTGCGGGGCATCCATTGCCATTTCTTCCTCATTTGCACTCGCTCCTCGCACTGCCTCTGCATAAGAGACCTGGTGAACAGCCCAGATTCTTGCTACCTCAACCTCCTGGAACTCAGGAACGTGGTTCCCACCACAATCTCACTGCGTATCTCATATACCCCAGCTTTACATCTGTGGGAAGAGACTCTTCAACAAATAGCAATAGCACCGATAGGCTTTCCTCTTTCCTTCCATTCACCATACAGTTCAATCGTAATACATCCACTACTCCTGGTACATGGTATATTTTCAGCCTCCTGGAACCATAAACTTGGAACATAGCTAACGTACGAATTTCACCATCTATAACAGATATTTACAAAAATAGTAGGTGAAACCTGTTTTAGAGGATCCCTGCAGATATCAGCAAGAAACACAGAATGGAAAAAAACTGCAAAATCCAATCCCACCTCATCATGTAACAAAAATATTGATGACTGCTCTCTCTGAAGCAGCAAGTTGAAAGAAGTGAAAGTTGGTACGGTGGCTTGGAAGAACAGCAGGTACACTTCTGTCATGGGGTCAGTGAATGTCTGCACAAGTGGCCTGATTTTCATCTTGAATCAATCAATAAATAACACAAAACAAGAGGTTGTCATTAATACAAGTATGTGACTAACAATCCATGTAGTTGCTGCATAATGAAATTGAAAATTGATGACCATACTAGCAGATTTGTAGTAGCTGGCCAGAGGTTCATACAGCCTCAGGATCCTGGTCACACAACGTTCAAGGCTTAACCAACGGACCGAGATATGCAGGAGGACCTCCATGTACTCCGCTTCATGGAGCTCACAAAACTCTGTTTTAGACAATAAATCCATATCATATATTTTCTACAGCTCAGCATTTCAGTATTACACTTAATAGTATCAAACATGCATACCTGTCAGGTATCCTTTCCGATTTGTGCTACCCTTGAACCAGTAACCGATGTCCACTACCATATCCTCCAAATCCAAACCGGACACCTGCAATGCATAAATCAATCATAACACATTCAGTCAATGCACGTAATTAGGATACAAAAAAAAAGTTACATGTAAAGATAAATCAGGCCTTAACTCACTTTAAAAAATCCAACTCCTGCAGCTTTGGCGGTGTTATGTGCCACATGACAAGGACAACCATGAATATAGGTGTTGGGAAGCTTCTGGAGCACCCTAGAGGCAATGGAATTACGTGGTCCAATGTTCACAGCTGCATTGTAAACTGAGAGACCAATGCAGTTCTCCCAAGGGATGCCATGCTCCTCTATGGTGGAGGTCATTTTGGTGAAGATCACACTTGCTGTCCCACATCTGTTCCCACTTGTTGTGCACATATTTAAGAACTGGTGGACAACTTTGCTGCCCATGAAGACCCGGACAGTAAGCGGGTTCATCTTTTCCACTCCTATAATGACAAGTTAGAATCATACAGATGTTCATGTTATTAGATGTTTAAAAATACACAAAGCACATGTTTTGCAGAGGAGAAAAATCTCATATAGTTTGTGAAATACCAGTGTCATTCGACCCATCCGTAACAAGGGTATACAGGGCTTTTTTCATCTCCTTCACAAGCTCCTGTGTGAAATATGATGCGAGTGCTTCATTGGTAATGCAGAATGACTTAGTCCTGGCACACCTGTACTCCTGCGCTGTCTTCGAATCTCCGAAACATATTTTTAGGAGAGGCCCCAGGTGGTCCGCAAAGGCTAGGGGGACGTTGTGAACTACCAACCCAGCTGTCATTTTGACCTCAGCCCTTCTTGTCTGTAAGAAATTAAAAATTATTCATCCTCCCAAAAGACCATAGTTTATTTAATATAGACGCCTGCGATAATAAGGCACAGGTAAAAAACACATTCAGCAACTAAGATCTCAAATTAAGAAAACTGGACTGTACTACACTGAAATACAAACCACAAATTAGTCAAAACTATCAACCATGACTTTACCGTGATCAACTAGAACACAAAACTCTTGACTGAACCTTGACAGAATCATTACACATATCATACCTTAACCTCTTGGGCAGACATACCCCCAACAGATGGAACGGCCATTGCATATTGGGATATTGTGGCTGTGGACTGGAGAGCTCGTTGCTTATCTTGGTGGCCTTTGCTTTTTATATGGCGCACTACATCTGTCACACCCTGGTGGCAACATGAGTTTTCAATACGGCAGACTGCACACCAGTAGTGCGTGTTGAGGCTCCTTCTGGTAATAAATGGCCATGAAGAGGTCCACTCATTTTTGAAAATGGATCTTGCTGCTCCAGCAGAATCCAGGCTCTGTCGCAGCCGGCCGCGACCGGGAGACTCATGGGCAGCGCACAATTGGCCTAGCGTTGTCCAGGGTAGGGGAGGGAATGGCCGGCAGGGATGTAGCTCAGTTGATAGAGCATGGTGTTTGCAACGCCAGGGTTGTGGGTTCGTTTCCCACGGGGGACCAGTATGAAAAATATATATATATGTATTCACTAACTGTAAGTCGCTCTGGATAAGAGCGTCTGCTAAATGACTTAAATGTAAAATGTCAAATGTAATGACTCTTCTGGCCCTGCTGTTGGATTGGGGGGCTCTTCTGTCTGTCCCTCTGTGTCTCCTTCCATCTGCCCTGTTGGTTGTTCTATTTGTCCTGTCTGTTGCTCCTCTGCTTGTTTGTCAGTTTGTCCTGTCTCCTGCTCTCTCTGTCCTTTGTGTTGCTCCTCTGTCTGTTGTCCTGTCGTTTCTATCAATCGTTCTGGCTGTTCTGTCAGTGTGTTTGTCTGTCTTTTCTCACTTGGCTGGTTCTTTAAATAAAATAAAAGGTTTCGCTTTTGTCCTGGCAAAGGTCTCTTACGGGACATCTTTGAAACCTTAAACAACAATGGTCATGTTGGTTTAATAACTCTACTCTCAGTTACAAAAACATACCTACTTCTATTGCACACATTTCCTGTATTTATGTTAAATTCTTTGGAATACATCTTACCTGTTCGAAATCAGCTGAGTTTACATTCAACACACTAAATCATGTTCACACGCACGCACAAACAAATAATTTCTTTCAAGATGTAAAATGTAAGAGAGTGAGTACTCAATTGGACGACATTTCATTGTTACATACCTAGTCTCAGCTCAGCTTCTTATCAGACTTCTTGAGGTAGTGACCGTTTCTTCTCCTGTTGTCTTTCGCGGCAATGGTATCTCTTCTTCTGTCGCTAACTTCGGGGTGCAGCGCATATGGTTCAGTGGCGCTCATCAGTGCCATCTACTGTCGGGGAGTTTGAAAAAAGGAATGAACGAGTCTCGGCCGATGTCTTTTGCGTGAGAAATTGGATGTGTGGCGTGAGTGCGTGTGAAAACAGGCAAAAACGTGTGTCACACGGCGAAAGAGTGAGAGTTGGCAGCTCTGCTTTCCTTTTGTTCTTCTGACACAATAAATCAACACCATACCGCTCCTGGTCACTTTGATTGACACCACCTTTCCCAGTGCGTCCTCCACCATCTCCTTGAATGGATCTCCCAAAAACACATCTTTATCCATGAAACGAACTCCAACAAGGAACGAGGCATTATTAGATCAAGGCCTATCTTCATGAACAACTTTATCCCGTTTTGCTCCATTCCTCAACACTACAGTTTTCCACTCATTTCCATTAACGTTACTTAATGCGTCATCCGACTCAAACAGTGCTTCTGCTTCTGCCATCTTTCCCTCAGTTTGGACGCCAAGAAGACGACCTCCCATGTCACATACTCATTCACATGTTTAAATGAAAGGTGGGAGGCTGTAGTACTGACAGAATATTGTCGCTGAAAACGACAGCTCCTTTACACATAGCTCAGGCTAGCAGTCGTGCTGTACTGCCTGTTGTTACAGTGGCAAGCAAATAGGTGATGCAAATGGGTTTTGTTTGTGATACCCATGTAAATATTTGCTATGGCCAGGAGCAGCCCTCGGGTTACAGTTGTCTCATGGAACGATGGCATTGAGTTGTATTGACATTTACTAGCTAACAGAATCATATCCAACCTCGTCATTAGTTTATATAATGGTTGGTTTCCCCTGTGCACTGAAAGATGTCCTAAAAGGCTGGGTTGTGTTTATTAGGCCATACCGTAGCAAAACATTTAGCAATGAAAACGTTTCTTATTGGACAAGTTCAGGTAGTCCTACCTCCCTTTTTCACTCTGTTTTCTTCAGTTCTGTACCTAATGAACACCACCATGGGTCCTATTCATTGGAGCACATCATAGCAAAATGTTCAGGTAGTCCCTCCCTCCCGTTTTCTTCATAATTAACATTTCCTGGATCAACACAGGACACTGGACTGTGAGACTCACATAGATTGTGTTACATGATAATTCCAGCTATGACATTAACAGACTATAGTAGGTCTATGTGTTGAAATGTTTTGTAATTTTGTTCTTAATGATAGCTGGAAGGCATCTTATCTTAACTTGAATGATTTCTTTAGGTCACAGTTTGATCCCAAAATTACATTTTTTTGCATATTTTTGCATTTCATTATTCTCTGGTGTGGATAGTATCTGAGTTATTCAAATAAGAACTCTGAATCCAAAACAAGTGAGATGACCAATATGTTTATTTATTTGACAGTCTAGAGTGCACATGCTGTAAATGTTTTCTGGGTTACAAAACCCCTCCATGCTCCTCTTTAAATGGAAACTACTTTATCAACACACAAGAACAAAACAAGAAAAAACGCAAGTGCCATAATGTTGGCCTACAGCTTGTGGATGCTGCATAGCCCTTGAGGTTGTGGACATAGTGGTTTGTCCCAAACGCACCATATTCCCTATATACTGCAATCATTTTGACCAGAGCCCTTGGGGACATGGTCAACAGTAGTGCACCGTAAAGGGAATAGGGTGTCATTTGGGACGCAGTTGATGATAGAAGTTGATGATGATATTCCTCTGTCTTGGCTGGAGCGTTGGTTGCGGTGGTTCTACAGTGAAGTGTTTCTCCCTGAAGGAGTTTAGAGACATCTGAGGAGGAAGGAGTTGCAGCTGCTGACCCTGCCGCAGTCACAGAGCTTCCCAATGCGGGGTCCATGCCTCAAGGCACACCGGTCACCCATACCACACTGAGAGACAGAGAGAGAGTGAGGGAGGGGGAGGGAGATAGATAGAGAGAGGGAGAGAGAGAGAGTGAGGGAGGGGGAGGGAGATAGATAGAGAGAGGGAGAGAGAGAAAGAGAGATAGAGAGGAAACACAAAGTAGCTTTATCACAAAACTCAGTCCTTAACTTTTAATTAGAAGAGAAAGAGTTACTCAGCGATGGTAATGAAAGTTCTAATTAGTTTGATGTATGAATGAAGAGGTGTTTGGTGGTCCTTCAGACTCCTCCTCCTTTCAGTTAATTAGACTTAGGGCTGCTATCTTGATCAGGCTGTATAATTGCACTCAAATCAAAGGCTGCTGGCATTTCTCCACTTGCATTTAATTATACTGACAACTTATACTTGCTAATTGATTCTACATAAACTTTAAATTGAACTGCATTGAAATGGTTCACAGACTATGATACAGAGTGGGAGAAACATGGGGGGCTTAAAGGGGGCGTTCAGAATTTTACAAAAAAAGCCAAATGGCCTGTAACATCAATCAAAATATGGAGTTGATTTGGGGTGATTTGGCAATTTAAAAAAAAAAACAGCTCACATGCCACTTTTACCTTCATTGAGTGTTAGCTTGTAGTGGCTATTTAATGAAAACCAAACCATGGATTACAGCTTCTCCTGACCCATGGACTACTTTCAGGGTGAGGAACTATCTAACATCAAGTTGTAAAATCCTAAACTTCCCCTTTAATAACAGGCACTGTTCACCAGATATGCTACCTTGTCCCAGACCTGCTGTTTTCAACTCTCTCCCTCTACCACACCTGCTATTTCAACCTCTAAATGCCCGGCTATGAAAAGCCAAGTGACGTTTACTCATGATGCACTGACCTGTTGCAACCTCTACAACCACTGTGATTATTAATTGACCCTGCTGGTCATCTATGAACGTTTGAACATCTTGGAGAAAAATCTGGCCTTAATGGCCATGTACTGTTATAATCTCCACCCGGCACAGCCAGAAGGGGACTGGCCACCCCTCAGAGCCTAGTTCCTCTGTAGGTTTCTTCCTAGGTTTCTGCCTTTCTAGGGAGTTTTTCCTAGCCACCGTGCTTCTACATCTTCATTGCTTGCTGTTTGGGGTTTTAGGCTGGGTTTCTGTATAGCACTTTGTGACATCTGCTGATGTAAAAAGGGCTTTATAAATCAAATTTGATTGATTGATTGATCCGCATTTTGTTCCAAATAAATCAACTCTTACAATATGTTTCAGCAGTAAGGCCTGAGGGGGTGTGGTATATGGCCAATATACCACGGCTAATGGCTGTTCTTATGCACGACGCAACGCTGAGTGCCTGGATACAGCTCTTAGCTGTGGTATATTGGCCATATACCACAAACCCCCCGAGGTGCCTTATTACTATTATAAACTGGTTACCAACATAATTAGAGCAGTAAATATAAATGTTTTGTCATACCCATGGTATACAGTCTGATATATCACGGCTTTCAGCCAATCAGCATTCAGGGCTCGAACCACCCAGTTTATAACACCCCTTTGATACTTGAAAAGTACTGATGATTTTAAATGCAGTCATAGCCTGCATTTGGGCAAAAATAACGTTTTAAACAGGAACATATTAGGACTCACAGGAGGGATCATGCCTCTCTTCTCAGTGGAAGGCAGATGGCTCTGCATCTTCACTAGAAGAGCCTCCATCGCATCCACCTGGGACACAGAGTAAAGGAAACAGGGTCAATGGAATTTCTCATTGCTTTTCTCAAGGAGGGTTTTAAAATCTATACTCTTATATGACTGCAATTTCCCCATGAGTTTATGTACTACCTAATGAAAATGTCAGTGTTATAGAGGCTATATTTTAGTTTTCAGAAGATCCTTTGAATAATCTATAGGCTAAATCAGATTACATTTCAAGGAAATCTTGTGGAACTCTATCTCTTCAGGTGTCATTCATTTGACATTTAGGTTCAACCAGGGATGGAAATTAAGATAGCCAGCTAGCCCGAGGCCAGTACTTTTCAGAACGGGCTGGCAAGTGCACTAAATCTTTAGCTTCCATCCCTGTGTTCAACCATGGATAAAACTGATGGATAAATTGGATTCTCACTGACACTTTTATCAGGACGAACTGCAGAAGAAGGTTATGTTGTCCCATAATCCAATCATGAGCAAACATTTAGATTGCGAATTATATACAGTATATATATATTTTTTTACCCCCTTTTTCTCCCCAATTTCGTGATTACGATCTTGTCTTATCTCTGCAACTCCCCAATGGGCTCGGGAGGGGCAAAGGTCGAATCATGAGTCCTCCGAAACATGACCCGCCAAACAGCGCTTCTTAACATCAGCTCGCTTAACCCGGAAGCCAGCTGCACCAACTGATGACCGAAGTCAGCCTGCAGGCGCCCGGCCCGCCACTAGGACTAGCTAGAGCGTGATGAGCCAAGTAAAGCCCCCCAGCCAAACCCTCCCCTAACCCTGACAACGCTGGGCCAATTGTGTGCTGCCCTATGGGACTCCCGGTCACAGCCGGTTGTGACACAGCCTGGGATCAAACACCAGTAGTGACTTTGCAACACTGTGATGCAGTGCCTTAGACCTCTGTGCCACTTGGGAGGCTGATATCGAATTATATTGATTTAGATTTAGATATTAAATTGAGAACCAGTATTGCATGAATATATTGATCAGGACAGACATGATAGGCTAGCCTGAAACAACAAAAGTGATTCCCTATATGAACTTACAAGTTCTTTCTCTGCGGCCGCGGCCGCGGCGGACTTCTGCGCTCCAAATTCCTCTGCGGAAACTTCCTGCGACGCCTGTCCTCGGCACATAACGAACATCAGGCCGATGCACAGCAGTCGGAGCAGCACTCCTGAGCTATCCATGGTTCTGAAGCTGTGCGTCGTAAATGATGTGCGGTCGTGGCGGCAATAAGAGAGCGCAGTGATCAGAGCGAAGGGTCGAAAGTCCAGAGTGCGTAAATGTGCAACGGACTGCCGGACCTCTGCATTTATACAAAGCGAGTAGCCCCGCCTGTAAGGTAATGTAGCTGGGTTGCCAGACCCATAGCGAGGAACTCCAGTCTTTAATGCATTTTGAATGGTTTGAAGGATTACTCTTAATTGTGATTTGAACTGGTGGGTTCAAATCCCACACGTTACACTTGCATCCCGTAGCTTCTTATTTTGTCCATTATTCAGACTTGTTACCGATTTAAAACCTCTCTATTTATAATTGTATCTTATAAAGTTGTTTTTCACTCTGTTGCAAGCCCCACCTCAATATATACCTAATTAAATTTCGTACTGCAATTGTAAGCTACTAAATACAATGTTCCTTGTAGGGGCCATTTCTCTCGTTGAATGAGATCAATACAATCCCCAAATAGAATTTCAACGGTGATTTCAACTGAGTTGGAGATCAATTGTGATTTCAACACAATTAAAATGTCTAATCACTGCAATCCATTGCAAAACAACCCAGTGTCTAATTTTCCCTGCACAAACCTAATATACAGTGCAATAGAGAAGGGAAATGTTCTAATACTGAAGCTAATATAATAATAATAATAATAATAATAATAATAATAATAATAATATAAAAGCTCCATTCCTCTTTGACTTTATACATTCTTGCTCACAGTTTAACACAACGAGAAGAAATGCAGAATTTACGTCAGTTGCATAGAAGATAGCATAAAAAACACTTACTAATATACATACATAATCCAGGACATACAAAAATAATAATGATACAATTTTTTTCACTGGGGGGGTCTGGCTCACAGAGCTATTACACACACACACACACACACACACACACACACACACACACATTGGGGCGTTGTAAGGCAACACTCATCTGTTCTGGCCCATTCATCTCCTATTGATTCCTCGTCTTAATTAAAGGTGTGTGATATGATACGCCGCAGGGCAATGTCCAGCACTCACTTGAATATAATCTGCAATTAAAGCTTGGTTTTATTTTCCTTTAACTCGCAGCAGCATGTCTTAATAATAGACAACCCACTGGCATACCGTTCGGCCTGCGCCTTCCTCAGTGTGTGTATGGCTCTAACTGGCTCACCCCGAGTCTCTCTGGACAGATTAAGGAAATCATTTGCAATTCCTTAAAAAGAGCACTCCAGTGAACTCAATTGTGTTGTTCCTGTGTCTTTATCTATCGAACAATGACCTCTTATCTATTCTGCAGTAGATAACCACCGTTGAACTGTGTTGCAGCTCGTTGCTTGGTTTCATAGTAGAGACATACATTTACTGCACAACTGTATTCCCGGGGAATAATGTAAGGTAGAAAACTCAGTAGTCTTAGAACAGCATTTACCAAATGTTGGGTAGAGACAAATAGGCTGTGGCTGATACCGTTTGTGTCTAAGCTTACATCGGAGTACTGACTATAAAAATTGGGTTTGTTTACTTGGGTCTGGGTCACTACTAACAGTGAAGAAGTATAGGTGGGTCCCAGAACCGAACACTCGGGAGAAACGCTCACCTTCTATTTCAGAGTCGGGGCAACTTCACCATACAATGTGTAGTGTGCCTTAAGGAAAGTCCTTTGAGTGCCTGTAGAAGGCAGCAGATGGCGCTGCGCCTGCAGTTTCGCCGAGTGGCTGCTGATGGGTGTTTCCTGGAACGCATACTTTAGTTTAGGATTTAGGAAGGAACACACACCCCAGTGACATCAGTTAGGTTTGAAGAAAAAAAAAGTCTCAGCTCTCGTCTCAAACAGTGCAGTGGAGCAACAAGGGAGCCGAGAGCGCCTTCCCGACTTTTTCAATTATATAGCCCACAAAGAGAACTGGACGAAACTGTAGGCTATCATCTCAGCTACTATAATTTGACCTAATCAACTCGGAGAGTGAGGATTATAACACTTAGTCAGAGAAGATGTCAACCTCAGACGAGGCAGACGGGCTTCGGCCGAGATATGGGTGTGAGTATCTAAAAACTTTTCCTGCTCGCTCACCTTTTGATCTTATTTTACCTCCGTTTACAGAAGTTTAACAATTAGTTAATTGTTTTAATCAATACATACATTTTCAAATGCGTTTTTTCGTCTTCTTTCTATTTATATTCATGTGTTTGACTTTGGTTTGACTTTTGACAGCGTGGTAGGTAGGCTCTGACTTCCGCGTTTTCATCTACATCGGTTATAATATTGCAATTTTACGTAGCTACATCGAATGAAGTTAACCTACATTGAATTTGGTCGATGCAATCCGGGATCCTTGGGACGTCATTGAAGTAATTGAATTTAAAATGGTAAGGGTTAAAGTTAGGGTAAAGGTAGGGGTTAAGTTTTTTAAGGTAGGGACGTCCCAAGGATTGCGGATAGCACTAACCCACAGAATTTTGACATGTTTGCATTTTTCACAGTAAATGATAAAATAGTTGTTTTCTTATAGGGAATCGAAGGTAGCAAGAAGATGCAATAGTTGACTGGTTTACCTGGTCGATTCATTGGAATCTATTGATCGCCTACTATAGTCTATTGATATGTAAACCAGTAGCCCCATATAGTACTGGATCATTGATGATATTAATAAAAACATTTACATTCGGATATTGTCTTTTTTTATTGTATTTTATAAAATAATTATAATTTTTATATTTTGTTTAAATTTGTGATTTTATGAACTTTGAAATCATTCTGTATAATGAAAAGTGTTTTACAAATGTAATTTATAATAATAATTATTTGTATAATTATTATTAGTGGTGAACTAGACTTGCCTGAGTCAGTCAATAGCCTTGGCCTAACGTTTGAACCATAACACGTACTTACTGGATTGTCAACTGCATTGAAGATTACTGCAACTGTAAATTACCTAATTGTTTGATAAGTTTACCAGGCTAATACATGAGTTTAAGGCTGCTCAATAATAATCATTTTAATCATAGTCAGTAGAATAAAACCCCACAATAAACTCCTGGAAACTGTAAGTGACCATTTTTAGACCTTTCCATTTTCCATTCTCTAATGGTCATGTAGCCTAGGTTATAATTGACATGCTCGTTATTCAGAAGGCCTAGACCACCAGAAGGAGGCTGAAAGAGCTCTTATAATGCGAGCGCTCATGTCCCCTTTATTTCTCTCCCTCCCAGCTCTAAAAATACATTACCGTGCAGGCGGGAAGATGTGGGCCTATCCAGTGTAACCATTTCGGTCTCTCTAGCCTAGGCCAGTGGATCCCAACCAGGGGTGTTAGGACCCCTGGTGGTACTTGGCCTATCCAAAGGGGGTACGTGAAATGAGACCATAGGCCTACTGGTAAAATGCACATGAGGGGGTACTTCAGGAGTACTCCTGGCAGAGCGAAATTCAATTGGTGGTACAGTAACCGAAAAAGGTTGGGAACGCAGGCCTAGGCCCTAGCCCACACCACGGAGCTTTGTTTTCCTGCAGAACAAGTTAGAATTATTACTCGCAGTATCTACAGGTTCTTTGTAAGAAACTCCTGTGCATTTCATTTGGCATATTTGCTGGATCACTTGAAGTGATAAGAAAGCCATTTTCCACAGAAATGAAAAATGTCAAACAAGATGTTTAAACAAAGTTGGTATAGGCTAGCCTACATTTAGCTACTGTGTGACTAACGCTAAGTTGGCCTCCCCCGATCAGTAACCCTTGAATCATCTCAATATGTGGAACTGGTGGTGAGGCCAAGTTCTAACCAGACTGGGAGGGGTTGGAGTAGCCTAGCACTGGGGACTGTTCACCATGACAGCTGAGCAGAATCAGCCTGTGAATGAATGAACACCTGATTTCTTGAGTCAATTGACATTTTTGTGCTTATGATGATGGCCAACACAACTATGCCAGCTTTGATATTCGGGATGGATGTGATTTGCTAGACAGTCTCTACCCCTCCTACATGCAAAATGAGAAGTCTCACTGTTAATTTGAAGGGAAGTTCTTGAATAAAAAATAAAAAAATCTTCCCTACTTGTTTGTTTGTGTGTGTGTCTGCAAATCTGTGTGTGTTTACTATAAATCTGAGTGTGAGCTAGACTCAACTCAGTGTGTGTACTGTGAACATTTGTAAATTCATGAGTGTTTCCTGTACAGCTATGCTGTTATTTACATTTTAGTCATTTAGCAGACGCTCTTATCCAGAGCGACTTACAGTTAGTGAGTGCATAATTCTGGTTTTTTTTCATGAGCAAAGCTAGTATTCACCTAGTGTGTGTTGTTTTCCAGCCGTTCTGGATGGTGTGGAGCGACTCACAGCAGAGGAGATGGACGAGAGGAGGCAGCAGAACATGGCCTACGAGTACCTCTGTCATCTGGAAGAGGCTAAACGGTAAGAGAGAGAGTTTCATTAGTTGGTTATTGCCTTTTTTTTGGGGTGGGGGGGAGGTATAAAAATGAATAAAAGCAGACAAATACAAATTCTGCCGGATATGTACCTGGGGGAGACTTCAACCTGCAGTGGGAAAGGAAGGGAAATGTCTCTCACCACAGTCTGTGAAGGACAAAGAATGCAAATAGTCTGCCATTGATCCACACTTCCAATGTGAGAGAATACAGAAGTGTTCTTAGGGAGTCTGGAGCCCTACAGTGGGGAAAAAACGTATTTAGTCAGCCACCAATTGTGCAAGTTCTCCCACTTAAAAAGATGAGAGAGGCCTGTAATTTTCATCATAGGTACACGTCAACTATGACAGACAAATTGAGATTTTTTTTCTCCAGAAAATCACATTGTAGGATTTTTAATGAATTTATTTGCAAATTATGGTGGAAAATAAGTATTTGGTCACCTACAAACAAGCAATATTTCTGGCTCTCACAGACCTGTAACTTCTTCTTTAAGATGCTCCTCTGTCCTCTACTCGTTTCCTGTATTAATGGCACCTGTTTGAACTTGTTATCAGTATAAAAGACACCTGTCCACAACCTCAAACAGTCACACTCCAAACTCCACTATGGCCAAGACCAAAGAGCTGTCA